TTGAAGATGTCTGAGTCTTCTATCTACTGAAACTAGAATCACACCATTCGGGCCAGAACTCTCGAAGTTACGCTTTCCTGAATGTGAAGTGGTCCGAGGAGCCCTGAACGCTGCGAGATTGACAACCCTTGTTAAAGCCTTGAAATTATGCTAAGGGAAAGATAGCACGGTGGAATTCCACGGTCCACATCTGACCGTGGCACTTGATTGCAGTTCTTCGGGGTTTAACATGATCTTCACGCCACCGTCTACACTTGACCGTGGCAAGGTAACACTTGGCCACGGAAGGATTTTACCTGCATTCGGCATTTAACACGGTCTCCAGGCCAAGGCTTTGGACTTGGCCGTGGCAACTTTATACAATCTCTTGGCATTTGACACGGTCTCCACGCCACGGTCCACATCTGACCATGGCACTTGATACAATCCTTCGGCGTTTGACACGGCCATGAATCACGGCTTCACATCAGACCGTGGCAACTTTATGCATTCCTTCGGCGTTTGACACGGCCATGCATCACGACCAGAGGGAACCCGTGGCACCAAGATCCATCCAAGAACCGAAACTTCAGCACTTAACACAGTCACTTGCCACGGCTTGACCCAGACCTGCTAGACCGTGGCAAACCTATTCTATACCCACCAAAGCCGGGTTAGTACCCGGTCTGTTCCGGGCTGACCCGGTTTGTCCATGACCACTATAAATACTTTTTAGACCTAATTTGGAGAGACTTTTATCTCATCTTTAGTATCTTTTTCCTTTTTGGTGAAAGAACCACTTGATAATACATTTTTTGAGTTTAATATTGATTTGAAGAGTGTTTTCCATCTTGTTCTATCATTTCTCATCATCAAATCACACTTCTAATCATGATTAAGAACACATGTTGCAAAGGATCTAGTGAGTTGATCATGATTAGTGAGTAAGACTCATAGAGACTTAAGAATTGATATGTTCATAATTTGCATCATTTCGGTTGCATATTTCATTCCAAATCATGTTTTATTTCATGCATTTTAGGTCCTTAGGATTTGTTTTAGAAATTAGGAGTTCCATTAGGTGCCAATGAGTCTTTACATGTTTTGAGTGTTTATCAGGTGTATTTGGAGCTATTTGGAGTTGGAGAGATGGATCCAGGAAGAGAAATGGCAACCAGGACTTGAAAGATGGTGAAAATGGGTTTTTGGAGGTTCTCGGCCATTCTCACGTACCGCAGAAAGGTTTTCTCGGCCATTCTCACGTACCGCGGGTGGATTCCTCGGCCAAAATCTACGGGTGCAGACACATTTCCGAAATCGCCTGTCCGGGGAACCTTCCGGTCCGATTCATCGGTCGGGTGCTTCATAAAAATTGGAGAATACTGGATCACGGTTCCAGACCAAGTGGAATCATAGCATTCGGACACATGAGCAGAAATTTAAGCTCGTCGGAAGGAACTCCTGTCTCGCTGCCGTTTTGGACCGACCCGATGAGCCCCGAAGAATGCGAAAAACGGTGCACTTACAGACCGATTCAGTTTACAGGGCTTTCATGAGAATCAGAGATCTTTGAGTTCTCTTTCCAGAACGTCCGAGATCATTCAATTCGGAGCTATGAGCAAGAAGATAACGTTTCCGGAATGGACACATGTCTAGACGCCTCTCTCTGATCGTGTAAATGCACTGCGAAGATGAGCCCTCCAGGAAACCTTCCACTTCCCAAGCAACGAAGCTTCCTTCACTAAAGTTGAAGATACATGAGTGTTCTGTCCTCTGAAACCGGGAGCACACAATTCGGAAAAAAAACTTAGAAGTTACGCTTCCCTGAACGCGAAGTGGTCCGAGGAGCCCTGAACGATGCGAGATTAATAACCCCTATCCTTGCTTTGAAATTATGCTAAGGGAAAGATGGCACGATGGAGTGCCACGGTCCACACCTGAACGTGGAACTTAATTGCAGTCCTTCGGCGTTTGACACGATCTTCATGCCACGGTCTACACTTGACCGTGGCAAGGTAACACTTGGCCGCGAAAGGACTTTACTTGCATTCGGGAATAGCCACGGGGCAATGCCACGGTCTACACTTGACCGTGGCAAGATAACATTTGTGATGCAATCTCTCGGCGTTTGACACGGTCTCCATGCCATGGTTTAAGATTTGGCCGTGGCAACTTTGTGCAACCTTTCGGCGTTTGACACGACCATGCATCACGGCTTCACATCTGACCGTGGTAACTTTGTGCGTTCTTTGGGCGTTTGACACGACCACTTGCCACAGCTTGACCCAAACTTGCTAGACCGTGGCACCATTATTCATCCAAGAACACAAGATACAAGACTTGACACGGTCACTTGCCACGGCCTGACCAAAACCCTGCTAGACTATGGCAAACTCCCTCTTTATCCACCAAAACCGGGTCAGTACCCGGTTTGTTCCGGGCTGACCCGGTTCGTCCAATGCTTCTATAAATACTTTTTAGACCTAATTTGAAGAGAACTTTATCCTATCTTTAATCTCCTTTCCCTTTTTGGTGAAAGACCACTTGTTAATACCTTGCTTTTAAGTTTAATATCGATTTGAAGAGTGTTTTCCCCTTAATCTATCATCTCCATCTCTATCTCTCATCATTAATCATGCCAATCTTCACAACTTGCAAAGGTTTAAGAGAGATTAGTATGATTAGTGAGTAGTCACCTTAATGAGGTTCTAGATGTGTAGGTTAGGGTGCTAAAGTGTTAGATTAGGAGTGCTTAGGGCTAGATTCATTGATTCATCTTTCTAAACTTTTGTTCTCTATGCTAGATCCCTTCATATCACTAGAAATCTAGATTCTGGGAATTTCATGCACCAAAAGTGTTTGATGAAATTCCTGAAAGAGCTGTATTAGAGATTTAAGCATTTGCTGCATGATGATGTATTGTTAAATGCTTGAATGATCATTTAGAACTGTTTATTAATGCATACTGATTCATATTTCACAAATGATGATTTGGTTTGAAAATGGATTAGTATAGGGGTTAATACCTTCATGAGAGGATTAACCTAGATTAGAGTTCTTAATCATTTGAATCATGTCTCATCATTGTCATTAGCATTCCTAGTTTAGCACCATAGCACCCTAACCAACTATCATGTCTAGAATCTCATGCCTCCATCATATCATAATCATATCACTTGTCATTGTTTAGTTCTTCTTTAATCTTTAATCCTGTTTTTAAGTTTGTAGTTGTCATTAGTTAATCAAAACCACTCTTGTTTGCCTGAATTAAGAATCTGATCACATAGTTTAGTGTCTAACACCACATATGGATTGAAAAACCCCTTGTACTACAAGACAGGGGATTGATAACCTCTACAAAGAGCCTTGAAAACTCTTAGTTATCAAGAATGCATACCTGAGCACCTTAGGAAGAGGTTTGAGTTCCAGTTGAGGCGCCTTAGACTCATCCCAATCTGGATTATATGAATCCTCCTTGGCTGGCCCTTGTTTGGTGTTCATCTCCTCAACAGGCCTGTTGCCTTGCTCATCCTCTATCCGCATGGCTTTGCACTCTTGAACCTCCCATTGGTTTGTACTTGAATCAATGATCTCCTGAACCTCTGAACCACCACAGTGCAAATTCAAGTAAGAACTAGTGCTCTCCTATGGTTTGTGAGAGTTTAACAGCTTCATGAGCTCCAAAGTTTCATCCTCAAGATAGCCATGATCTCCATGTTCCTTTGTTAAAGTTATCTGAAGATGATTTTCAGTGTTTAACTCTTCTAGGAGGTCATCGGCAAGCTCATCCATGGTCTCAACATAGATGACTTGACCTCCTATAGTTGGCTTCTTCATCATTTCATTAACATCAAACTTCAGCCTTTCAGAACCAATTTGCAGCTCAATTATGCCTCCTCTTACATCAATGACTTTTCCTGTTGTGGCTAAGAATGGCCTGCCCAAAATAAGAGGACTAACTGGTTCCTCATCCATTTCTAGGACCACAAAGTCTGTAGGCACTTCAAATCCCCCTATCTTCACTGGTAGATCCTCTAGCATCCCAATAGGCAAACTCACAGATCTATCAGCAAGAACAAGTGAGATTTTTGCTGGTTTGAAAGTTCTATACCTCAACTTTCTTGCAATAGAGAAAGGCATTAAGCTGACTGATACACCCAAGTCACAAAGACATCCAACAAACATCTATGGTCCTATAGCACAAAGGAGAGTGAAGCTCCCTGGATCAGACAGCTTCCTTGAGACTGACTTTCTCTGAATGATGGCACTACACTCATGGCTAAGCACCACCATACCTTGAAGCTATTTAGTCTTGTTCAAGATGGCATCTTTTAAAACTTTCCAAGCTTAGGCATCATCAGAAATGCTTCAATAAGAGGCACTGTAAGTGGTGTCTCATTAAAAGTCTTCTCAAAGACAGCTCTTGCGTTATCTACAAGCTGCTTCTTAGACCTGCCTGGAATTGTTAGCTTGGGTTGATAGGGAGGGGGTAGAACATAAACCTTCCTTGGTTCTGATGTCTTTTCCACCTCTTTCGCCTTCCCTTTCTTTGCTCTTTCAGCTTCTTGATCATCCCTTGGGGCTGCCTCTCCACCAATTTGATCATTGTCCTCAATGATCATATTGTTATGTTCTAAATCTGGTAGCTCTTTGCCACTTCTCAAGGTGATGGCATTAGCATATTCCTTTGGATTTGGTTCTGGTTTTCCAGTTAGAACTCCTTGGCTTCTTGAAGTGGAAGCCTGATTCTGTTTCAGCTCCCTTATCCTTTGCTGCATGGATGCATACTTGGAACCCAGATCAGAACCCCAATCTCAACCCTTTTTCTGTCCTTGTAACAAATGCTGTAGCACCCTACACAAGTCTGGACCCATCTGCTGCTGTTTTTGAACCCCTTGTGGCTGTTGAAACTGCTGCTGACTCAACCCAGTTGGTGCCTTGCTCTGCTGCGGCTGAGAACTGAAGTTTGTACCCTTATGTGCCTGCTGTTACTGATCAAACTATTATTGAGGCTGCAAAAACTATTTCTTTGGCTGAAAAGAAGTTTGAAACAGAGGCTTAGGGGCAAAGCTTTGCTGGTTATACTGAGAAGGATACAATCGATATTGTGGGTTTGCCACATTAGTGCTCTTATAAGACAAGTTGTTGTTGGCATTGAAGTTGTTGAACCTTTGGTATCTGTTCTCGTTTCCAATGTAGTTCAACTCCTCTTGGGTTAAGTCCTCTTCATTGATGTTCTCAAAGCATGGAGACTTTTCAAAGTCACCAACATAATGGATTGTTTTTTGAGAAACCATCTTCAGTTTGTCAAGTTCATTTCTCAGCTCTTTAACCTCTCGATAAAGCTTTTGCTCTGAGCTTGAACCATCTGATCTTTTTGTTCTGTCATAATCTTCACCATATGTGTCATTAGACATTGCCAGATTCTCCACAAGCTCCATAACAGCTGTAATCTCTTTTGCCAAGAAATTACCATTGGAAGCTGTGTCTAGTTGGTTCCTGATTTTAGGTAGTGCTCCAGTATAGATTGTGGAGAGTAGAGAGGCTTCAGAAAACCCATGGTGTGGACACTGATTGATGTATGTCCTGAACCGCTCCCATGCTTCTCCAAAAGTTTCATTGGAGTGCTGTGTGAAACTAGAGATCCGATTTCTAAGCTTTGCTGTCCTGCTTGTGGAGAAGAAGTTGGCGAGGAAAGCTTCTTTAGATTTTTCCCAAGTCTGAATGCTCCCAACTGGTAGGTTCCTCTCCCATTGTCTTGCTTTGTCTCCCAAGCTGAAGGGAAACAATCTAAGCTTAAAACCATCTTCTAAGACTCCAATTATCTTGGTCAAGTTGCAGACCCTATCAAACGGATCAATATGGTCTAATGGGTCCTCCATTGGCAGTCCATGAAACTTAGAGTTTTGGACCATGTTCATCAGTGAAGCCTTGACCTCAAAATTATTGTTTTCCACAGGTGCACAAACAATACCAGCAATGTTCTGGTAAATATTGGCTGTATCACATAGATTGGTTGGTGTCCTTGACGTCTTTGAGCCTATGGCTGAGGCTGAGGAATGTTGTGAGCCTGCTGCTCATTCTTATTAGCTTGAGCCTGATTTAAGTGAGCCTGATGCTCAACTTCTTGAGCCTGTTGCTCAATCCTGTGTTGTGAATCCATTCCCAACTGATCCTGATGATCTTCTTCTTCTTGATTAACAGCTCTGTCCATTTCTCTTCTTCCTCTTCTATCCAACAAGTGGATGTTATCAATGAAGTGATTAGCTGCTTCACAACTCCGACTACTTGTTCTGGGTCTATGTGACATAAACCTCAAACTCAGAACTCAAGAGTTTAATCAGTAAAACAAAGGTAAAAAAGGCTTGATCTCAAAAAAGTACCAAGAACTAATGCTAAACCACACTTTGGCAATGGCGCCAATTGATAACTAAGGTTGTTAGGCCTTTAGTGGGGGTTATCAATCCCGTGTCTTTGTAATACAAAGGGTTATCAATCCAAATGTGTGGATAGATTCTCGTTCACGATGATAGTTTCTTAATCCAAGCAATATGATGAGTTTTGATTCAAACAATGATTAATTAAAGGCTAAACAAAATTAATAAACAAGAAAATGATCTAAACAAGAAGCAAGCAGTAGCAAATGACAAGCGAATGGATATGAAATGATGAGTGCATGAGATTCTAGACATGATAGATGGCTAGGGTGCTTTGGTGCTAAACTAGAAATGCTAATGACAATAATGAAACATGATTCAAATGATTTAGGACTCTAATTAAGCCTTAACCTTTCTCAAGCACCAAAAAATCAAGCTATTTCGCATACCCAATCATCATTGGAGATCAAACAACAAGACAACATTTGAATCAATCCCAAGTGATCATTTATGCAAATAACAAACATCATCATGGTATTAATGCATAAACCTCTAATATATCTCTTTTAGGAATTTCATCAAACACTTTTGGTGCATGAAAACCCCAGATTCTAGATCACAAGTGATGTGAAAGGATCTAGCATAGAGACCAGCTATTTAGAGAAATGAAAACATGGATCTACCCTTAAGCACTCTTAATCTAGCACTTTTGGTGCATGAAAACTCAAGATTCTAGATCACAAGTGATGTGCAAGGATCTAGCATAGAGACCAGCTATTTAGAGAAATGAAAACATGGATATACCCTTAAGCACTCTTAATATAGCGCTTTAGCACCCTAACCTACATATCTAGAACCTCATTAAGCAAACTGCTCACTAATCATACTAATCTCTCTTAAACCTTTGCAAGTTGAGTAGATTGCCATGATTAAATATGGGAAATGAAGAGGGAGATGATGGAAATTGATGGATTTCAGCTTTAAACACAAAAGATTCCTTGATTTCTCTTGATTAAGACTCACAAAAGAATATATCTCTTACCAAAGGAAAGTCTTTCACAAAAGAGGCAAAGAAATTAGAGAGAATAAATCTTAAGTCTTGGAGAAAACCCTAAAACATATTTATAGTAAGTAGCTTGGATCGGGTCAACCCAGGACAAACTGGGTACTGACCCAGCTTCAAATGGATAAAATACTCGGTGTGCGGCTTGGTCAAGTGTTTCCCATCCCGCAGGCCTGAATCGCACAGCCATGAAACTAGCCTTGTGCGCCTAAAATCCTTCAGCCTCAGCCGCATGCCTATCTCGGACTGTTCAGCAAACATGTGTGCTGTTCAGGTCTTCTCCTCTTCAACTCGCACAACCAAGACGCATTCTGGAGAATATATGTGTGCAAGTTGGTCTTGTTCAGCTCCAAGTCGCACACCCAACTCGCACAGGCCTCGGAGCAAGATCTTGCGCGTTAAAACCTTGTAGATTAAGCCGTACTCCCTTCTCAGTCTTTATCGCAAACATACGTACTGTTCAGGTTCTTTTTCTCTCTAACTTGCATACTCATATAGAAGAGGTCTTGAAGCATGTGTGCGAGTTGGTCTCCTTCACTCCCAAGTCGCAGGCCAACTCGGTCTAAACCACGGACATATGTGTGGTTCAGTTCATTGCTCGGTCAACCCGCATGCCCAAATCGCACAGCTTGTGGACTTAGCATTTTCCAGCTCGGGGGTCTTTGGTCTCACTCAGGATTGCCTTATCCGCACATCTCCACACACAGCTCATTTCCAGAATTTAACCTCTAAGCGCTGCGAGTTTACCAAGTCGCAGAACCATCTCACACTATCTAAGTCTCCTCGGACCACTTCGCATTCGGGGGAGCGTAACTTCCAGGATATGGATCCAAATGGCTTGATTCTAACTTCAGTGGAAAGAGCACTCAAATATATCAAACTTTGGTGAAAAAATCTATAGCGCTTGGGTAGTGTAAGGTCCCCCGGACGGCTCATCTCTGAAGTGCATTGAATCAATCAGAAAGAAACTCTTGGACCAGTGTTTACTCCTGAGACGGTATATTTCAGGACATAGCTCCAAACTGGATGATCTCAGATGTTATAAAAAGAGAACTCAAGGACCTTGAATCTTAATGCAAGCCCCGGCAGCTCAATCGGACTGGAAAGGCATCGTCCCATGCAATCTTTATGACTCATGGGGTTGGTCTTGAAACTGTAGCGAGACAGGTGTGTCTTCCGGTGAGCTTAACTTAAAAACATGATTAAAGACTAAAGAAGAGCTAAACAATGACAAGTGATATGATTATGATATGATGGAGGCATGAGATTCTAGACATGATAGTTGGTTAGGGTGCTTTGGTGCTAAACTAGGAATGCTAATGACAATGATAAGACATGATTCAAATGAATAAGAACTCTAATCTAGGTTAATCCTCTCATGAAGGTATTAACCCCTATACTAATCCATTTTCAAACCAAATCATCATTTGTGAAATATGAATCAGTATGCATTAGTAAACAGTTCTAAATGATCATTCAAGCAAATAACAATACATCATCATGCAGCAAATGCTTAAACCTCTAATACAGCTCTTTCAGGAATTGAATCGAACAGTTTTGGTGCATGAAATTCCCAGAATCTAGATCTCAAGTGATATGCAAGGATCTAGCATAGAGAACATCTGTTTAAAGATATGAATCAATGAATCTAGCCCTAAGCACTCATAATCTAACACTTTAGCACCCTAACCTACACATCTAGAACCTCATTAGGGTGACCACTCACTAATCATACTAATCTCTCTTAAACCTTTGCAAGTTGAGAAGATTGGCATGATTAATGATGAGAAATAGAGATGGAGATGATAGATTAAGAGGAAAACACTATTCAAATGGATATTAAACTCAAAAGCAAGGTATTAACAAGTGGTCTTTCACCAAAAAGGAAAAGGAGACTAAAGATAGGATAAATTTCTCTCCAAATTAGGTCTAAAAAGTATTTATAGAAGCCTTGGACGAACCGGGTCAGCCCAGAACAAACCGGGTACTGACCCGGTTTTGGTGGATAAAGAGAGAGTTTGCCACGGTCTAGCAGGGTTTTGGTCTGGTCGTGGCAAATGACCGTGTCAAGTCTTGTATCTCGTGTTCTTGGATGAATCATGCTGCCACGGTCTAGCAAGTTTGGGTCAAGCCGTGGCAAGTGGTCATGTCAAACGACGAAAGAACGCGCAAGGTTGCCACGGCCAAGTCCTTGGCCGTGGCATGGAGACCGTGTCAAACGCCGAGAGATTGCATCACAAATGTTATCTTGCCACGGTCAAGTGTAGACCGTGGCATTGCCCCGTGGCAATTCCCGAATGCAAGTAAAGTCCTTTCGTGGCCAAGTGTTACCTTGCCACGGTCAAGTGCAGACCGTGGCATGAAGATCGTGTCAAATTCCGAAGGACTGCAATTAAGTGCCACGGTCAGATGTGGACCGTGGCATTCCATCGTGCCATCTTTCCCTTAGCATAATTTCAAAGCCATGATAGGGGTTATCAATCTCGCATCGTTCAGGGCTCCTTGGACCACTTTGCGTTCAGGGAAGCGTAACTTCTACGATATTTGTCTGAATTGTGTGCTTCCGGTTTCAGAGGACAGAAGACTCATATATCTTCAACATTGGTGAAGGAAGCTTCGGTGCTTGGGAAGTGGATGGTTTCCTGGAGGGCTCATCTTCCCAGTGCATTTACACGATCAGAGAGAGGCGTCTGGACATGTGTTCATTCCAGAAACGTTATCTTTTTGCTCATAGCTCCGCATTAAATGATCTCGGACGTTCTGGAAAGAGGACTCAAATATCTCTGATTCTCATTAAGGACCTGTAAACTGAATCGGTCTGGAAGTTCACCGTCCTTTGCATTCTTCGAGCTCATCGGGTCTGTCCAAAACGGCAGCAAGACATGAGTTCTTTCCGACGAGCTTAAATTTCTGCTCACGGGTCCGAATTCTATGATTCTACTTGCTCTGGAACCGTGATCCAGTCTTCTCCAACTTTGATGAAGCACCCGACAGCTGAATCGGACCGGAAAGTTCCCCGGACAGGCGATTTCGGAAATGTGTCTGCACCCGGAGATTTTGGCGAGGAATCCACCCGCGGTACGTGAGAATGGCCGCAAAACCTTCCTGCGGTACGTGAGAATGGCCGAGAACCTCCATAAACCCATTTTCACCATCTTTCAAGTCTTGGTTGCCATTTCTCTTCCTGGATCCATCTTCTCAACTCCAAATAGCTCCAAATACACCTGATAAATTAACACTCAAAACATGCAAAGACTCATTGGGACCTAATGCAACTCCTAAGTCCTAAAACAAACCCAAAGGACCTAAAATGCATGAAATAATAAATGATTTGGGATGAAATATACAGCCTACATGTTGCAAATTATGAACATATCAACTCCCCCACACTTGTCCTTTGCTTGTCCTCAAGCAAAAACAGCAAATGAGAGAAAGAGGTTGGATGCATTGGGAGTTCATATTCCTTAATGAGAGA